GCTAAAGTTTTAAAGTAGCGTTCAATTCTCAGATCAGACTGCGCATCGCAGGCTCTGATAGGCTCAAAGTAGGAGTAAGAAAAAAAGTAGATGCTTTGACGCTGCTATACGTCCGAAATTTCCTTTTTTCAAAAATTGAGGTTCAATGTAGACGCTAAATTTCGACTCGGATAAGAGAGAAAGTAGATCCTACTTTGACGCTGCTATACGTCCGAGAAATTTCCTGCAAAGTAGGGTTTAAATTTCGACTCGGGTATATGAAATTAGATTTTGAAGAAACAAATGTGTCTTTTTTTTTGGAAAGCACATGTGCGCCAAAGTATAACAAATGTCTCTTATGACGGAGGCTTGGCAAACGTGACGTCGTTCGTGGCTCGCCAAAAAATCACCGGGCCTTTTTACGCAGCAATAAATGTCGCTCGTTTTATCGCAGACTTTTAAGGCGAACCGCGTGGAGCGCGGTGGATATGGCCTGGCGAAGAATTCTCGCGGTTCGCAGAGCAGCGGCGATCGGCGGCGGCGGCGGCGTCGTGAATTCTATCGGAAAAAGATTCGTCGACGTCTATTGAAGCTGACGCGCGATCGGCGTTTCGCCTGGGAAATCGATAGCAGCGCGGAAATTAAGCGTTCTCGCACAGTCAATTTGCGGCTCCATTTGGGATCTCGTTGCGACGGCCGACATCTGGACCGAATCGAGGTGAACCCCCCCGAGCGGGTTTAAATAAAGCCCCGTTTCCCGTGCCGGGAGAGTAAAATGGAACCCTCGAGTTCGTTCGTTCGCGTTCGTTTGCGCGCAACCCAAGAACGGCACCAGAAAAGACTCACGCGCAATTTCCGCCCGGTTGCCGCGAATCTACCGGATGCACTTCCAACGCGGATGGATAGAGGACAAGTTAGAAAAATACGATAGCTGCAACTTTTAACGTATGCAAACCATTCAGCAAAAAACCCCAGCCTGTTGGAGAGAATCAAACAGAGATTAAAAAAAAAAAAACTTTTTAATAACTTTTGCACAATAACACAAAAGAAAAACAACTTTCAAAAATATACAGCAATAAAAAAAATAAAAAAAAATAGCAACCAATTCACTTTTAAAATATTCAATAGCTGTATCTATTAAAAAAAAAAGTAATATCGGGACTATATGTTGTGAAGTTTTATTGAGTGTGAAGTTTTATTCTCGATACTAAAAAAAATATATATATATTCATAAATTTCACACACACAATATTCTCTCTGCAACAATATTGAACGCAAATTGTCAAGTAAGAAATCAGATAAATTTTGGAACATCTTTCACAGATTGAACAACCTGATTTCTACAAAACAGACCGCATTGCGGTCGAAAGAGATAAAAGAAAGAAAGAAAAAGAAAAAAAAAAAACTAACCGCGAGACGCGATTATCAAGTTTCCCGAATGAGAGGGCCATGCGCATGTTCCGGAAATAACTCTGTGAAATTACTCGCTGTTGGTCGGTGCAACAGCCATGGCAAAACGTTAGCAACAGCAGCAGCAGCAGCAACAGAGCAAGTTAGTTTCTCTCCTCCTCATTCCGCTTTTCCTTTCTCGCCTTTGCATTGGTCTCTCAAACTCTTCGTGGCGGCAAAACGGTAGAATTGCAAAATAGCCGAACATCGTGCAGCGTCGCCGTGGCCGGATAATCCTCCTCGTTCGTTGGTGTATCGAGGAGCCCCGTCGCCATGCGCGGTTGGCGGACCGGATATAAATATTCATTTGCGAAAGAGATAAACGTTCGCAACATAGACTCGCGCTTTCGGACACGACCGAGCGAACAAGCGACGCGAAACGGCAGTTGCGCAATCAGCGGATACGCGTTCTCGCGGGAACAACCGCGCGCTACTGTGTGTCGCCAGCTATCAAACACTTTAATCAAGAGACGCGGTAGTGTTGAAAGAGAGAGGAGAGAGAGAAAAGAGAAGAGAAAAGAGTACAACACATCACGGCGAAGCTAGCGCAACGAGCCGAATGGCCGATATCTGCCGGTCATGTTGGTTCCATTGTGTCGTGATATCGCGCGTTATCTTTTCGTTTTGATGCGAGTTTTCGCACCTTGGATTTCAGAAACGCGTTGACTCGAGTCGAGACGTGTGTTAAAAGTATTATATAGATAAGAAAGTTATAGTCGGCAAAATAAAACAGCGAGCGACTTGTAGAATCATTTTCTTAAGTCCGAACTTTTTCCCAGCGCCAATTAAATAATAATTTTGTTTACAACGCGTGAATTTTTCAGAATCGTCACGAACATAATAACACTTTCTCGTGGAAAATAAAATTTTTCGCTCGACAAAAATCTTTATGTTTACAAAACCATTGAAACTTTGAAATTGCAATTAACATAAATTAAATTCAAGTTGATTATATATATAATATACGTATTTGTTCGTATAAATCTATTGATAGATACATAGAATAATGGATGAAACAAAAATGTAATCAAATCAGTGATTAATCTGTGATTATTAAGTAATCTATGATAATAATGATATAATCTATTGTATAAATTTGCGATAAAATATTAATTAATACCCAAATGTTGGCAATTACTATCTGACCAAGATAATCACAGATCGATTTGGTTATAGTCGCTTTATCGTTCAATCATATATCTCGGTGGAAAATTTCACAATAAAAAATAACACAAATTCTCCATTCTTTTATTTTTAACAATAATTTAAATATTATCCAATTATTAAAATTAACGATAAATGTTTTGATTTTAATAAATAAATTAAATACGTACGCATAAACCGCGGATGCAAACTTGTGTAATTAACACAATAAATCTTAAATTACAATATTACATTGTTATTTATAAATTTCTTTTTATATCGATAGATTTCAAAAAAATAACAAATTAATTCGAACGAATTGCGGTGAACTTGTTGCACTTACCGAGCTTAGCTTTCATGTCCGCCTTGTCCGCCGCCTTCCTTCCAGGCTTGCGTCCCCTCTTGCCCCCCTCTTTCCGATCACCGCGAGATCCCTCCTGCAAATAAAACGACAAGACGAACAATTATCGGGAAAACTTAAGTAAGTAGATATTAATAGCTATGAGCAAATTATCATATATTTTCTTGTACGTTATTGTCGCGCGTGCATCATTTTCTCCCTTCTCTCCGAATATATATATATATATATATATATGTATAAATTTCGCGATATTACAGCGACACGGAGGAAAAAGATACATCGCGCCATTTCGCCAAAACCAATCCATTTTGGCCTGATCGGCTTCACCAACTACATGGAGATGCCAATAAATAATCCCACCAAGAGGCGTTCCATAATTAATGATCGCACCGTAAGAGAGTATATTTACGCGCTGCAACCACCGCACAAACCGCCGCCGCGCGCGCGACGGTGACAAATCTTGCGCGCAAAGCCGAGAGCGGCATTAAAAATTGACGCGTTGCAAAACGTGCGCGCGGCCGGATTATTACGCGCCGCCCTACCGAAACGAAAGCGCCGCGCCATGAATAATTCGCCGCAAGGTAATTTACGATTCAATCAGGCTCTGCGAGACTCTCTTCCACGTGTAGTATGCTCGCGCGCGCACACACGCACGCACGCACGCACGCACACTCGCCGTAATGCTCGCTTGATCCGCGTCGGAGTTTCACTCCGATTAATATCTTGAGCGAGACACGGGCGGCGGTATCTCGTTTTCAATGGAAACAAAAGCTCATTGTGTCGCAAAGAGCGGAGAAGCTGAGCCGCGCGGCAGAGAAAGGGGGAGAGAGAAAGAGAGAGAGAGAGAGAAAGCCTTGGTTGTGAAAAGCTTCGGGGATGAAACCGCTGTCTTCTTCGTAGTCGATCGTAAAACGCAAAAGGGGATGCTGCAATCGCGGTCCCGTTGTGAACGATGATATCGTCTCTCTCTCCCACTCTCCTCTCTTCTCCGCGGCTCACACAAAAGTGCAACATGAGTATCGTTTAATATCCGCGGTCAAACGAGGCCCGCGATGAAACGCGCTCTCGTCGCACACGATCGTTCTTTACGGACCTTTTTACAGTGTCGTAATCTGTCAAATAAAATTCAACAAAAGAGATGAGAAGAGAGGCGCGACTTCGCGTCAAAGACTTTTTGCGATTTTTTTTCAGAGCTAGCTAATTTTTGCTACAAATTTTCTTCATTTTTATTTTTACTTTCCAGTTTTTCTATAGTAATCAAAAATTTACGAGAAGATATTTCCACAAGTTTTTGTGATCCCGAAATTAATATTAGAGTTTACATTTATTCTGCAAGCGCGCGCACAGACCTTTTCCGAACGGAAAAGCAAACCGCCGTCTATGTGTATATACATATATAATGTATATACATATATATATATATTTATATATATTACATATATATGTAACATATTACATATAATATATATATATGTAACGTATTACATATATATATATATGTAACATNCGGAAAAGCAAACCGCCGTCTATGTGTATATACATATATAATGTATATACATATATATATATATTTATATATATTACATATATATGTAACATATTTCATATAATACAATTTCACAAAACGTATTACATTATCTATTCTCTGTAACATTATATATATATATATATATTACATATATATGTATATACATATATATACATGTATATACATATATATTTTTTTTTTCACAAAAATACGTGAAAATATATATACGTACATAGGCGGCGTTTTGCTTTTCTGTTTTATATTTTTTTGGTTCGCGTTCCGCGTTGAGAAAAACACGCGTTCCTTATTACAGACAAATCTCAACGCGACGAGACAATTATCAGACGGTGGAACAATTTCGCGGTCTTGAAAATAGAAGCGGGAAAACCACCACGGGGGGGTAAGTCAGAACGGATCTTGCCGATCTTGCCGACATAGCCGTCGTGCCGTTAAAATTTACACATCTCTCGAGCATGAGTTGTTGCGTGACCGCCGGCTTTCAGGTATGCATACGCGTTCAAAGGTGACAAAATACAAATTCTCTGCCCCGTTTTAGAACCGCTCCTGTTTACCGCGCTCCGACCTCCGAGTCGTTTCTCTCTCAATCTTATCTGATATTAAATCTCCTGGAATCCCATTTCTCTCCTAGAAACCACTTCCGGCTTCTTTACCCTATCTCGGTCCTAATCACTCTCTTGTCAGTCACCACCTCTCTCTCTCTCTCTCTATCTCTTTCTTTCTTTCTCTCCCTCTTCCTGTTTCCGTCATCTCTTTTTCCTTTCCACATTTTTGCGGAAGATAATTGAAACTGATTTTTCGCAAGTGGAAAAATACTTCATAACTTCGAGCGCAAAAACTCGCGAGGGAGAATTAAGCAACACAGCCTGGACAAATCGAGAATGCAGTGCGTACGTACACAAACATAGAAAGTTGCTCGCGGTAATTATTATTATTTTTTTTTTTATTTTTATTTTACGTATCACAATGTAACCGCGAGTATGTGTAAACATCGCGCTAATGAATGTAATATCTTTCGCGATATATATTTCGAAAATATTGAGTTTCTAGTTTGGCACAACGGATTTTTCTTTGTTAACCAAGTTTTTTTTTTTATTTCTATTTCCGATAGAAATCCAAAACGCCAAATAACAAAGTTACTTCCGTTAGACGTTTTACTGATTTTTCAAAGATTTGTAAAAAATTCATCGCGTAATTGTAACAGCGGTTGGTTCAATACAATATAATGAGCTTCGAGGTTTCGCTGCTTATTTTATTACGCTAGATAAGTCGAACGCGAATAAGTTTGATATATGTGTAAGAACCACGGTACTTTGCAACAAACGATACAACATCGTGTTTCTAAACGACCTCGCGAAATCGGGGTCACGAAACCAAGACGATCGACTTGGCTATAGACTTCTTTCGGAATACGTCAAACATCCCCGCTATCTGACACCGACATTTCCGTCTACCTTCTTTCTCTCTACCAAATGACACCTTGCACATCCTAGCGCAAACACGCACGTATAACTCCAAATTCCGCTTTCTTTTTCGACGTGCGTGACGACAACCTCTCAACAATCTCAGATCGAGATATCGTTGAAGAAATAAACTCTTCTTTGTCGAGAAAATTTTTGACACAATCGTTCACGACCATCGCTATGCGAAAGTATTTTACGTGTACATACATCGTCGCGGGACATGCGAGCGCAAATGCGAGGCGCGCGTGCAATAAAATAAATGTGCTAAATGCGAAACGTGCTAGATAATATCTTGTATATCGGAACATTTCCATACGTAGCGATGCGATGATTATCGGCGTCGCGTATAACGAGCATTCAATTATACGTGTTTTTTTTTTCTTTTCTCATATGTATAATCACATACAAATGACAGAATGATAATGTCTTCCGATGTTGTACACACATATATATTATATATTTATTTGTGCGCGTTTAAAAACGCGAAATAACTAAACTATTAAACAAGAATAATAGTAACATCCGGTAGAGCTAAATTTGCATATTTAGCAACGGCATGCAAAATGATTGACTAGTTACACTAATAAATAATCCGAAGTCGAGCACCGATGATATATATATGTACATATTTTTTTTTTTTTCAAAACACACATGTATAAAATCGATACTGTAATGTTTTTGAGATTTATTTCATGTAAATAAAACTGTTGACAAATGTATTTTTGACAAATTGTTTATACTGAAGAAGATCGGGTAACGTCACACAAAGTGAAATTTTGAAAATAAATAATTTCAAAAAACAAAATACGCAATAATTATACATCCAATTAATTATACATCCAATATTAAGTAATATTGGATGTATAATTAATCACATTCTTTAGCTATAAGAAAAAAATAATTTTATATACATTATATAAATATTAATAATAAAAAAAATTATTTAGTGCTAAACACAATCGTACAAATTTGCCAACTTACATACTCCCATACTTGGAATTAGTTTTAAGAATTATTAAGTAATTTCTGTTTTTTTATATTAACGAAATAAAATTATATATCAAGTAACTTATATAACTACTTATAAAATATTAATAACTATGTATTTATGTATATATATAAAATTTTATAAGTGATTTTTATAGACGCTCACATTAAGTAAGTTTTTTGAATATCGATGATACTTTATTATAAAAAAAAATTATAATTTATTATAAAAAAATATAACTTTTAAAAATGTACTTGTTTGAGGTAACACGATTACTTTCACGCGCGTACTCGTAATGTGAATTAATAACTAATCTCATTTGAATCAATATTTCCCAAACGTTTATTTTTAATAAACAATAATATATTTATAAACTATGTTGTAATGATTAAGTGTTAAATAAATGTAGGAAAAATTATCTAAAAATAAAGTTGCGCGATCGGAAATTTTTAAAAACAATTAAAATGAAACAACTAAAAACTAGAGATTAACAAATTTACTTGCCATGTCCAATTTTACAAAAGTGTCTGTAAATATCACACGCCGTTTTTAACATAAAAAAAAAAAAAAAAGGGTTACACGTGACTAGCACGATAGTAGCGATCTACATTGTAAAGAAAAATATGTTTCTGCATTTAATAAGCTAGAGATGTTAGCTGTGTGATAACTAATCTAGTGTGACAACTAGCTCCGGTCTCCCGTGTATATATGCGCGCGCGATATACGCAAAGTTTTAATAACGCGCGTTTATCATAAACTTGTCTTGTATATTATATCTCTATAAAAAAACAGATTTTCATGGTCACTGAATTAAGTATGTTTTTGCTGTAACATACGCGATCTTAGGTGATAAGTTCGTGATGTATAGTATATGCGAACGATCGTTAAGCCACTCTCATAAAATGGGACTCTATGTGCAATAAATCTCTCGAAGAGATAGCTCTCTCTTGTTCATGTGTGTGAACAAGCTGACTCACGTATTACGACATATTATGATGCTCTTGGCCACTTGTACCATCTGACGCCATTTTCATGACATTTTGTAATTTTGACCGTCAGCTTCGGTCGCGATGTAAAAA